GGGGGGGGGGGTCGGGGCACTTACTGTCTGAGCATTCCCTCCATAGATGCCGGCTCGTCCCCAGCCATAGTCTCTGTCCCACGGCTGACACCCGTCACGCTCACATCCCCGGCACCCGTCATGTGATCGGCCCGGCTAGATGTGAGGAGCGTCGGGAGCTGGACCGCTGCGGCGTTCGGTGGGCGTGGCGTGCGGGGCTTGAGTGTGGAGCCGCGAACAGGCTTCAGCGGTGGGCGTGGCTTATGCGTCCTGTGGACACGGCGGGAGCAGCGTGCGGTGGGAGGTGTCCTGTGAGCACGGCGGGCGCAGCGGTACGTGAGCAGCGTGTGACGTGTGCTTCAGGCCGCGTGTCGAGCCCTGAACAGGAAAATCAATTGATAGCCGACGAATCGACGATCGAAAACGTTGGTAACGTTTTCAATCGTCGATTTTAATCGACTAAATCGATTAACTGTTGCAGCTCTACTCCACACCAACCTCAGATGCAGGGGAGACAAAAACCCCTCTGCATAGTTTTTAACCAAAGTGATTACAGATTAACTGGAGAATTGTCATGCCTTTCTATTTCATTTTTAACAGCCTGTCGTTCCTGCACACCACAGCACAGATACCTGGTGGAAAGATGAATGTCAACACTATCTGATGCGACAGAGATCAGTGCAGTGGTGAGAAGGTCCTTGCTGCATCTGAGATCTGTGTGGGGTCATTCCCCAAGGTTTATGTACTTTAACCCCTTCATGACTGAGGTCTTTTTTTCATTTTTTACACCCATGTTATATTCCACATTTTAGGCCTGAAAATTACTTAAAACCCCCAAACATTATACATTTTCTGAAAGCCAAGACCCTATAGAATAAAATGGTGGCAGTTGCAAATTTTTATGTTGCACGATATCAGTGCAACTCCTTATCAAACCCCAACATTTTTGGAAAAATGCACTTAAATGCCCCAAAAACACAATACAATACCCAATTGTTTAATAAGATATAAAACATGGAGGTTACAAGTAAATAGATACCCAACATGCCCCAGTGTCACCTTTACACTCTAAATAAGCTATTGAAGTGCAGATCGCACTTCAATAGCCCAGCACTGACAGCCCAGGAACCGAAAGTGATGCAATCTGCATCGCTCCCGATCCCATAGAACAGGGAGGGGATCGACGAACAGAGGTTCGGCCATCTCCTCCCCAGCTTCCCGTTGACACCAAAGAAGCCGGCCCCGGGCCCGTAGGAGGGGTAACGGAGCCCGGGAAACACGGCGGGGGTGTCTGGCGGGGACTCGCTCACTGGCCCGTAGAAGCGATCTGGCGGCACCTGAGCCGCCAGATCGCTTCTACTGTAAAGCCGACACGCTGCTTTACACGAGGGAGTCTGTTTAAACAGCCCCGATGCCTCGGGAAGGGGTTAAAAGAAAATTATAGAACATAACATTTAAACAATCCATTCTGTATTTTTTTTTATTAAACTTTTTAAAAAGCCGCACACGCACAGTATAGGAAAAGCAACAGCGACGTTCAATAGAAACGCAACTCCTGCAGAATATTACCGAGGTATGCACAAGGAGATAGAAGCAGCATGGGGAAAGCAAAGGGGGCTGTTAGGCCTAAGCTAGCCCCAATGCCTCGGGAAGGGGTTAAAAGAAAATTATAGAACATAAAATTGAAACAATCCATTCAGTATTTGTTTTATTACACTTTTTAAAAAGCCACACAGGCAAAGGGGGCTGTTAGGCCTAAGCTAGGTGTATGTTTAGTTCTCTTTAAATGGAGAACCAAGATTGCAGAGTAACAAAGTATGTGTGTGCAGGCATTGGGAGTCTGCTTACAGGGGCCTGCTGCCGCCAACGTATTTGCCTCTCCTGCAAATGACCATGCAGATTATAGATCTCACTTTCTAGTCATGTCTAAAAGTAAGTGAACTCCATACATTTTTTTTACTTTTTCAACATATTTAAACAGGCAAACAGATCTTCATTGCAACAGTGCGTACACATAATTGTGACATACTTGAACAAATGACATGGTGTATTTATTTCTATAATGTACATTTACAGTAAAGTGGCATTAACGCTGGGTTCACACCTTAGCGTATTGTAAACTCGCGTTTGCCGCGCGTTTCTTATCGCGGTTTTACCACGATATTCGGTAAAAGAGTTTCCCAGGGGGTATCCGGCTGTATCCTGATGGATACAGCGGGAAACGCGCGTTAATGCGCCCCAAAGAAGCTCCTGTACTTCTATGGGCATATGGCGTTTTACCGCGCGATCGTACGCGCGGTAAAACGCGCAGGTGATAACCATGCCCATAGGCAAACATGGGTTTTCACCTGTTGCACCTGTTTTCACCTGTTGCACGTTTTACCCGGTAAAACGCTCAGGTGTGAACCAGGCCTAAAGGAGAACTATAGGGTAAGGCTTTTCCCCATAGTTCTCCTTAGGGTAACGGGAGGACACAAACTAGGGTCCTCCCGTCACCCTACGCTCAGTATACCGCGAGCTACAGCTCACGGTATATTGAGACGCCGAAGCTGAAGCGGATCCCGACAATTGTGCTGGGATCCGCCCAGCTGCGTGACTGACAGCTGGCTCTGCCTATCTAGAGGCAGAGCCAGCTGTACCCGCCCCCTCCCCCGTCCGTACCGCCAGTCAGCACTGGCGGATCGGAGGGGGGAATCCAGCCCCTCCCCTGTCACAGCAGATAGCTGTGACAGGATCGCGAGGTGAGCGAACGCCGGTATGTGTTCGCTCACCTCCCGATCTACTGAGCCGACCTGTGACAGTCTCATTGTCACAGGTGGCTAGACCTATGAGGTGAGTGAAAAGCACTCACCTCATAGTTCTCCTTTAACCCCTTCATGACTGAGCTAGTTTTCAGGTTCTGTTCATAAATGACTGACACATTTTTTACATTTTTGCTGTGTGATTCTTCCACAGCAGTAATATACTTTCTTACTAAATGTACCCACACATATTATATATTGTTTTTTAGAGGACAGATAGGGCTATATAATTATATCACATATGTGTACCTAACCCCTCACTTAGTTTGAATAAAATAAAAAAAATGAGGAAAAAAACTAGAAGAAAACACTTTTTTCACAAGTTTTGATTATTATATTTTTTTTTAGAATTTTTTTATATTAATTATAGTATAAAAAATATATTTATATATAATTTATATTTTCCTAATTTTGTTTTACACTTTATTTTAATTTTTTTACACTTTGTTAAAAAAAAAAAAAAAAAAAAAACTTTTTTTTTCTTGTCAGTTTATATCAAGCAATCACTATGACAGCTTGATAAATTAACTTTTTTATTTTATTTTTGGCTATTAGGCTGATCCAAACTTAGGAACAGCTAATAATAACCTTAGAGACTGATCCTGACTTTAGTCAGATTCAGATCTCACTAAAAGCTCTTTGATCGTGCCTAGACGATCAGAACTGATACATTTCACTCAAAAGATATACATTGTATCCTTTCAGTGAAATGTATCTAAACATCGGGCTCTCGAGCTGTCAAAACAAATAGCAGAGAGGTGAGGTGAGTCACTGCTGCCTCTCTGCTATTTTGAGCTGTCAAATACGGGATCGCAAATTGCGGTCCTCTATTTGCATGTAACGGCTTCATTCTTTCATTAATGAAAGGAAGAAGCTTTTACAAAAAGCTTAATTATTTCATTAATTAATGCCTCAATACTGAGACATTAATGAATGACTGTTAAATGCTGAGAATCAGCAAATACCGGCATTACAAAGCCTGATATAACTCGTCACGTACAGTGTACGTGGCCAGTCATATAGGCACAAAGTGACAAGACGTACACTGTACGTCTCCCGTCACGAAGGGGTTAAAGTCTAAAATCCCCCCCAATGCTTACCTTAAATGATGCCTCTTGATACGATTATCTATCTTTCCAGTAGTTTTCAGGCACCAGCGCTGGCGCCGGTCTCTGATCCAGCACTGACTGCTGTGTGTTGCTGTCCCCTCCTGTCCCATGGAGTCTCTGCGCCTGCACGCTGCCAGGCCGCGTGCATTGACTTACCCTGTGTCTCTCCTCTTCTCCTGGCTGAAGATCTCTTCTGCACATGCACCCGTCCCATCATCCTTCTCGGCTGCTCGAGAATTTTTCAGATCTTCAGATGGGAGCGAGCGGCAGAGACACAGGTAAGTAGTAACCTTTTTCGTGATTTTTGTTTTACGTTTTTGCATATGTCTGCTGCTTGCTAGCAGTAGAGAGAGATTACACACACATATATACACTGAGTGGCCAGATTATTATGACCACCCCATCAGTACTTCGTTGGACCACGAGATGACTCCACGAGATGACTTTGTTGGGCCGCCTCGTGACTCCACGAGAAGTTACATATACATAGTATTTGAGGTTGAATAAAGACATTAGTCCATCAAGTCCAACCTATTAGGATCTCATTCTAGGAGTACCCGTACCCCTGTATATTACGGTCCCTTAAGATTAAGTTTTCCCATTTTATTTCCCCCACTAGGTTGCGCAGCTTCTCAAAGTTGGCCCTTCTGAAGTTTAGGGTTCTAGTCCTTCCAGTACACTTCCCTTTTCTGTGTTCAATATTAAAAGTAATCACATTGCGATCACTATTACCCAATGACTCCCCAATTACAATATCCTCGATTAACTCTGCATTATTAGTGACAATTAGATCTAAGATGGCATTGGATGGAGTCTCCACCATCTGGTCCATGAAGTTGTCGCGCAACATGTTTAGAAATCGCCCCGCCTTTGCCGAACCCGAAGTTCCATTGGCCCAATTTATGTCTGGGTAATTGAAGTCACCCATCACGACTACATTGCCCACCAAGTAGGTATGTGCCTACGTGCAGAAAGGAAAACTGTGCCTCACATGTTAAATGCCGCAAACGTCGGAGTCAGAGCAATAATTCTAGGGCCATCACTCACTGTTACGCTAAACTGATGAGCAGTAAAAGCTTTTAAAGCGTCACTTATGGGACATTTTTGGTATTGTAGTTTTTTGAGGTTTCATGGGCGCGCGCAATTTTAAGGTTCGACATGTTTGGTGTCTATTTACCCGACGTGACCCTGATGTTTATGTTTTACTAAAAATATGGGTAAGAATAAATGTTT